ATGATTCGGTTGCAGTGATCTTGTTGAGGGCCTGGTAGAAAACCAATATATCATCAACGTATCTTAGCCAGGTAACTGTATTGGGAATGAAAGTGCTGAGTTTCTGTCTTTAGGTTTTTCATGAGGAGATTGGCAAGCACAGCACTGAGCAGGCTGCCCATTGCCATCCCAAAGCTCTGTTTGTAACAGTTGTCCTGATACTTGAAGAAGTTGAAATTAACACAGGTCTCAAGACCGAAACATTTTCTAATAAATATTGTCCCAGTGTTTGCTTACATGTTTTTCTAAACTACCTTGTCAATATTTATTACCAAGGTTTATACCACTAAAAACTATACATTAGTCCTTACCAAAATAATAAAGAAGCCCAAATAACTGCATTATCCAAGCAAACTCAATGAAACATGAGGAGATATAAAACAGAACTGGAAAACACTCTCTCATATCCTGTGTTCTATGTTGCTCAAACTGAGCCCACTGAAGTCACACTGATTATTAACCCTTAAACGGTCCAAACGTATATATACAGTCACCTGCGCAGCGCCCCGAATATTTTGAGAGAGAAAAAAAAAATTTATAGGAAAAAAGAGCATGTGATACCCAGGCATCCCCAATTTTTTTCATATGGCGCACACCCATTCTCTCATGTCTAGGCGATTCAGGCATATCGTGCAAATGTTGAATGAATGACAAATGAAATGTATATATATGTTTGGGGCGCTATGCGAGAGAACGTATATATATGTTTGGACCATTTAAGGGTTAATTCACTAAAAAAACAAGTCAGAAAATTAGGTCAAGTTCCACCACTGTTGTTCAAGAGAGTAGCTCATGTCCTTTCATCTGGCATTACGTCACTCTTTAACAAATCACTAGAAACCAACACTTTTCCGACATTACTCAAGACAGCAAAAGTTACTCCAATACACAAAGATGGTGACCGAACTGATGTAAATAACTACAAACCAATATCTAACCTACCACTGTTATCTAAAGTTTATAAAACATTACACACACAATTATACTCCTTTCTGGCATCACTCAATATATTCAAGCCCTGACAGTCTGGGTTGACCAGCTAAAAGCACAAATGTTACCATAAAACTGTTAGACTTCCTTTATACAGCTCTTGAAAATAATGACTATCCACCAGGCCTCTTTATGGACCTTAGCAAAGGTTTTGATACAGTAGACCAGAGCATCCTACACCTCTAACTAGATCATTATGGTATCAGAGATCATGCACTCACATATATGAAGTCTTACCTAACAGACACCAACATGTCTCTATCAAGGCCACAACTTCATCAACAACACCTGTTGAAATAGTCATTCCATTGGTCCTCTGTTTTTCCTTTTATACATCAGTGATCTTCAAAACGTATAACAGCAACTTAGCACTGTTCTCTTTGCCAACAACACAATTTTTGTCATCTTCCACCCAAATACAAATTCCTTCAACACCATTGTTAATGAAGAACTCTTGAAAATATCAACCTGATGACTACCAATAAGCTTACACTTAACACTCACAAGACTTTCTACAAGATGTTTGGAACACAGCGATGAAAGTCCAACCAAATGTTATGATTAACAATACTCTTATTGCTAAAACATAATGAGGGAAAATTTCAAGGTCTCCACCTTGACAACAACGTTAAATTCAACACCCACATCCAACACATTACAAAAAGTGTCCAAAACAGTTAGCATCCTCTCTAAGATGCACTACTTACATAATACTACATTCTAACCTATCCCTACCTCACCTATGCTATTTGTACCTGGGGATCCACAACAGCAAATCACCTTAAGCCAATAATAACTCAACAAAACGCTGCTGTACAAATGAGCAAAGTCTACTGCCAGACAACACACTATACCACTCTTCAGTCTACTGCCAGACAACACACTCAACCACTCCTCAGTCTACTGCCAGACAAGACACTCCACCACTCCTCAGTCTACTGTCAGATAACACACTCCACCACTCCTCAGTCTACTGCCAGACAACACACTCCACCACTCCTCAGTCTACTGCCAGACAACACACTCCACCACTCCTCAGTCTACTGCCAGACAACACACTCCAACACTCTTCAGTCTGTAAAGTAAAAGGACACAAGTGCAACTAATGTGACATTTAATTGTGGCAACGTTTCGCTCTCCAGGAGCTTTATCAAGCCATTACAAACAATACATGGACACAGAGGGTATATAAAGGCTCAGAGTGAGGTGCAATACTAGTGAGGTACCATTTCGATGTTCACTAGTGGTAGTAGTAGTAGTGACAAAAGTACATGTAATACAATATGGTAGAGCAATTAATTCATACATGAGTAAAATGATATAAAAGCTATTACTTGGGTAACATAAAAATAGGTTGGACAAATATAGACTGGAAAGAGGCAGCTTGTTTCAGTGTTCACTCTCTGTAATGTGCTTTGTGTAGTATAACAGGAGAGACTATGTGATGGCAGGGTTTACTGTTTTCAGGAGGATTCTTGCTAAGACTTCGGAGATGGTGAAGCTGCCGTTGTTTTGTTTAATTTTATTCTATTCCAGTCAAGATACCAAGACCAAAAGAGGCATCATCATCGGGTTTTTCCTAAGAGCATACCGAAATTTATAGTCTTGAGTTTCTTGACGAGGAATGTACATACATTCACCAAACATTCACTGAGTTACATTTTCCTTCCTTTTTCATCAAAGACTGCAAGAAAAGAGTTCTTCAGATCATTAATTCTCCACGCACCAACACCACTCCCAACAAAGTTATAATTCTTCCCAACAGCCAGGTTGCACTGAACGTTTCAAAAGTACTTTCACAAGCTAACACCAGAGTCGCCATCGCTTCTAGCACTTCAATAAAGGATCTAACCAGGACACAATCCAAGCACCACGAACCAGTCAATGCAGGAGTTTACACTATACCCTGTGGAGGCTGTAACAAGATTTACGTAGGTGAAACATCAAGAAACCTCGACACCCGCCTCAATGAACACATTTACGCATGTAGGAACGATAACTTGAACAACGCCTGTGTACAACACCGAAATTCCACCAATCATCTCATGAAATTCAGAGACGCCCAATTAGTGATCAAAGAAACTAATTTCCGCACGCAAGTGCTCAATCAGCACTGATCGCTGTTTCTGAATACAAGAAACAATCACATCAGCACTTCAACCATCATCCGAAGTCTAGCAAGAATCTCTGCCGAAAACAGTAAACCTGCCATCTACATAGTCTCTCCTGTTATAACTACACAAACACTTACAGAGACTGAAACTGAACAAGCTGCCCTTTCAGTCTATTTAGTACAACACACTATTTTTATGTTACCCAAGTAATAGCTCCTTTATATCCTTTACTCATGTACGAATTAATGACCTACCATATGTTTACTTTGCATACACACACTAACTCTCTACTAACTAACTACTACTACTACTCTATCTACTAAACCACACTCCTACCACTCCTCAGTTAACATCCAATGTACACTCACTAGTATTGCCACCCTCACTCTGCAGCTTTATAACCACTCTGTCCATGTATGTTTGTAATGGCTTGATAAAACTCCTGGACGAGTCGAAACATTGCCACACATAAATGTCACATTCAGTCTGCATTGGTCCTTACTTTACCAATTGTTGCGTAATTCACACAACTACTTACACTCCTTCAGTCTACTGCCAGACAACACACTCAACCACTCCTCAGTCTACTGTCAGATAGCACACTCCACCACTCTTCAGTCAGAAAACACACTCCACCACTCCTCAGTCTACTGCCAGACAACACACTCCACCACTCCTCAGTCTACTGCCAGACAACACACTCCACCACTCCTCAGTCTACTGCCAGACAATACACTCCACCACTCCTCAGTCTACTGCCAGACAATACACTCCACCACTCCTCAGTCTACTGCCAGACAATACACTCCACCACTCCTCAGTCTACTGCCAGACAACACACTCCACCACTCCTCAGTCTACTGCCAGACAACACACTCCACCACTCCTCAGTCTACTGCCAGACAAGACACTCCACCACTCCTCAGTCTACTGCCAGACAAGACACTCCACCACTCCTCAGTCTACTGCCAGACAACACACTCCACCACTCTTCAGTCTACTGCCAGACAACACACTCCACCACTCTTCAGTCTACTGCCAGACAACACACTCCACCACTCTTCAGTCTACTGCCAGACAACACACTCCACCACTCCTCAGTCTACTGCCAGACAACACACTCCACCACTCTTCAGAGACCTCAACCTACTTAATATACATAACATTCACTCTTACTACTGTGGTCTATATACACAGAATAATAAGTGCTAGTATCAATCCTGCCCTAAAACACTGTCTTGATAGTTGCAACAGAACTCACAAACATAATACCAGACAAAAATATCTATGACATTCCCGTGTCCATCTTAATCTTTGTAAAAACTCAAATGGACCCAAATTCTGGTACTCCCGACCTAATAACTCCAGAGCTCTCTATCTACCTGATAATGCCAGAGCCTCATGGCATCCATCACTAAACATTGATACGAAGTGGAAATACATCTTTGATAAAGATACACAGGTGTGTCCTAGTGATCAATAAAGATACCCAGGTATTGTACATCTATCCTTGTTATGAATAAAGATACCCAGGTATTGTACATGTGTCCTAGTCATCAATATAGATACCCAGGTGTTCTACATGTTCCTTGTCATCAATAAAGATAACCAGGAGTTGTACATGTGTCTTATTCATCAATAAAGATACCCAGAGATGAGGCCAGGAGTTACAATTCAACCCCTGTAATGACATACAGGTGACTGTCTACCCTTAAGTATTCTTACACAATAACAAAAACATACTGAAAAACAAAAGAACATACCAGTGACTGGCTTAACAATAAAATGTACTTCTAACTGGTTTAAGAACATTAAAGAACAAAGAGCATGCTTATTACTGAAGAACAAAGAACGTACCTCTGACTGGCTTAGGAACATCAAAAGGAATAATAACTTTGCGTCGGAGATAGGAAGTCTTCTCCAAGAATCGTCCGGAGTGTTTCCGCTTGAGTATCTCCGTCTGGACGATCTCCATCTCTGTGGTGATCTGCTTCCTGCCGTCTCCGGGGCCCTTCTCCTGCATGTCATCCCAGCGGAGACACACCCACAGGATGCGCAGCTGCATCGAGGCCGAGTTTAGGGTGGGCATGTTGGCCGTGCGGTACTGCCAGGTGGTCTTGAAGACCGGCCGAGGGCACGGGTATGGCCAGACCACGTTGTTGGCCTTGGCATTGTGGCTGAAGCCGCCGACGTGGTAGCGACCGCCCTTCCTGGCCAACATTTTCAGTTCCCAGCTGGGTAGTACTAGTATACTAGTCACTCGCATGTCCTTCTTGCTAGTTTTCCTGCCTATTCTGAAGGTAGAGAGCTGGGGCACACGCAGGTGTAGTTTGCGACTACGCTTGGTGTCGCCAGGTAGTTTCTTCAGGTACACTTTGCCAGAGGTCGACTCACTACTGTACGTCCGGTCGTTTTTCAAGAACTTGTTGTCCATTGTGAGTGACCCTTGGCTGGTTTCATCCAAGTCATCCTCCATCCTAATTTTTATTTCACTACTGGCACGTGACGACCTGCCATCACTAGAGTCCGCACTTTCCACTTTGACCTGACCAGCTTCCCCCAGAGCAACAGCATTATTCGACTGTCCGTTTACACTGGGCGCCACACTGTTAGGGTTCGTTACAAGGTCACTTGCTGCCTCTGCTTTACACACACTCTCGCCGTCTGTCAATCTGACGGGACTGTGGCCACCCACCTCGTCAAACGGCGCTCGTTTACTAGTCACAATTCTATAATTCTTAACACTGTTAATTAGTTTGTCTTTTGTCTTAGTTTTCAGCAGGCACAAAGGAGAGTAACAATGACACCGACCGCTACTTCGACACACCACCGAGTAACACACGTAACTGGCATCCAGATCGTCCAACGCCTCGTACTTGACCTTCAACGACCGCACTTCTCTCAAGAGGTTGCCGGCGGGTCGCTGCTTGTGGATCGTCGACCTCTGGGAATCGGGGATCTCGTCAATGTTCTCGTGGTCAGAGTTGTCGCTCAGTGTGGCGTCAGAGTCGTCGTTCTCAACATCGATGTCGCCACCATCGTCAGAATCCCGCTTTAATTCACAGCCAAGAGACTTCTGTAGAAATAAAATGTATGTATATTGTGTGTTATACAGTGTTAGTTGTGACAGACCTGTCTTATATTGTGTGTTATACAGTGTTAGTTGTAAGACAGACCTGTCTTATATTGTGTGTTATACAGTGTTAGTTGTATGACAGACCTGTCTTATGTGTTATACAGTGTAAGTTGTATGACAGACCTGTCTTATATTGTGTGTTATACAGTGTTAGTTGTGACAGACCTGTCTTACATTGTGTGTTATACAGTATTAGTTGTGACAGACCTGTCTTATATTGTGTGTTATACAGTGTTAGTTGTATGACAGACCTGTCTTATATTGTGTTATACAGTGTTAGTTGTATGACAGACCTGTCTTATATTGTGTTATACAGTGTTAGTTGTATGACAGACCTGTCTTATATTGTGTGTTATACAGTGTTAGTTGTGACAGACCTGTCTTATATTGTGTGTTATACAGTGTTAGTTATGACAGACCTGTCTTATATTGTGTGTTATACAGTGTTAGTTGTGACAGACCTGTCTTATATTGTGTGTTATACAGTGTTAGTTGGATGACAGACCTGTCTTATATTGTGTGTTATACAGTGTTAGTTGTATGACAGACCTGAATTATATTGTGTGTTATACAGTGGTATTGGGAAGATGGAGGGAATATTTTGAGGAACTGTTAAATGTTGATGAAGATAGGGAAGCTGTGATTTCGTGTATAGGGCAAGGAGGAATAACATCTTGTACGAGTGAGGAAGAGCCAGTTGTGAGTGTGGGGGAAGATCGTGAGGCAGTAGGTAAAATGAAAGGGGGTAAGGCAGCTGGGATTGAAACGTTAAAAGCAGGTGGGGATATAGTTTTGGAGTGGTTGGTGCAATTATTTAATAAATGTATGGAAGAGGGTAAGGTACCTAGGGATTGGCAGAGAGCATGCATAGTTCCTTTGTATAAAGGCAAAGGGGACAAAAGAGAGTGCAAAAATTATAGGGGGATAAGTCTGTTGAGTCCTAGGTAGTAGGTTGGTAGACAGCAACCGCCCAGGGAGGTACTACCGTCCTGCCAAGTGAGTGTAAAACGAAAGCCTGTAATTGTTTTACATGATGGTAGGATTGCTGGTGTCCTTTTTCTGTCTCATGAACATGCAAGATTTCAGGTACGTCTTGCTACTTCTACTCACACTTAGGTCACACTACACATACATGTACAAGCACATATATACACACCCCTCTGGGTTTTCTTCTATTTTCTTTCTAGTTCTTATTCTTGTTTATTTCCTCTTATCTCCATGGGGAAGTGGAACAGAATTCTTCCTCCGTAAGCCATGCGTGTTGTAAGAGGCGACTAAAATGCCAGGAGCAAGGGGCTAGTAACCTCTTCTCCTGTATATATTACTAAATGTAAAAGGAGAAACTTTCGTTTTTCCTTTTGGGCAACCCCGCCTCGGTGGGATACGGCCGGTGTGTTGAAAGAAAGAAAGAAGTCTGTTGAGTATACCTGGTAAAGTGTATGGTAGAGTTATTATTGAAAGAATTAAGAGTAAGATGGAGAATAGGATAGCAGATGAACAAGGAGGCTTTAGGAAAGGTAGGGGGTGTGTGGACCAGGTGTTTACAGTGAAACATATAAGTGAACAGTATTTAGATAAGGCTAAAGAGGTCTTTGTGGCATTTATGGATTTGGAAAAGGCGTATGACAGGGTGGATAGGGGGGCAATGTGACAGATGTTGCAGGTGTATGGTGTAGGAGGTAGGTTACTGAAAGCAGTGAAGAGTTTTTATGAGGATAGTGAGGCTCAAGTTAGAGTATGTAGGAAAGAGGGAAATTATTTCCCAGTAAAAGTAGGCCTTAGACAAGGATGTGTGATGTCACCGTGGTTAATATATTTATAGATGGGGTTGTAAGAGAAGTAAATGCGAGGGTCTTGGCAAGAGGCGTGGAGTTAAAAGATAAAGAATCACACATAAAGTGGGAGTTGTCACAGTTGCTCTTTGCTGAGGACACTGTGCTCTTGGGAGATTCTGAAGAGAAGTTGCAGAGATTGGTGGATGAATTTGGTAGGGTGTGCAAAAGAAGAAAATTAAAAGGGAATACAGGAAAGAGTAAGGTTATGAGGATAACAAAAAGATTAGGTGATGAAAGATTGGATATCAGATTGGAGGGAGAGAGTATGGAGGAGGTGAATGTATTCAGATATTTGGGAGTGGACGTGTCAGCAGATGGGTCTATGAAAGATGAGGTGAATCATAGAATTGATGATGGGAAAAGGGTGAGTGGTGCACTTAGGAGTCTGTGGAGATAAAGAACTTTGTCCTTGGAGGCAAAGAGGGGAATGTATGAGAGTATAGTTTTACCAACGCTCTTATATGGGTGTGAAGCATGGGTGATGAATGTTGAAGCGAGGAGAAGGCTGGAGGCAGTGGAGATGTCATGTCTGAGGGCAATGTGTGGTGTGAATATAATGCAGAGAATTCATAGTTTGGAAGTTAGGAGGAGGTGCGGGATTACAAAAACTGTTGTCCAGAGGGCTGAGGAAGGGTTGAGGTGGTTCGGACATGTAGAGAGAATGGAGCGAAACAGAGTGACTTCAAGAGTGTATCAGTCTGTAGTGGAAGGAAGGTGGGGTAGGGGTCGGCCTAGGAAAGGTTGGAGGGAGGGGGTAAAGGAGGTTTTGTGTGCGAGGGGCTTGGACTTCCAGCAGGCATGCGTGAGCGTGTTTGATAGGAGTGAATGGAGACAAATGGTTTTTAATACTTGACGTGCTGTTGGATTGTGAGCAAAGTAACATTTATGAAGGGGTTCAGGGAAACCGGGAGGCCGGACTTGAGTCCTGGAGATGGGGAAGTACAGTGCCTGCACTCTGAAGGAGGGGTGTTAATGTTGCAGTTTAAAAACTGTAGTGTAAAGCACCCTTCTGGCAAGACAGTGATGGAGTGAATGATGGTGAAAGTTTTTCTTTTTCGGGCCACCCTGCCTTGGTGGGAATTGGCCAGTGTGATAATAAAAAAAAAATAATAATAACAGTGTTAGGTGTGACAGACCTGTCTTATATTGTGTTATACAGTGTTAGTTGTGACAGACCTGTCTTATATTGTGTGTTATACAGTGTTAGTTGTATGACAGACCTGTCTTATATTGTGTGTTATACAGTGTTAGTTATGACAGACCTGTCTTATATTGTGTGTTATACAGTGTTAGATGTGACAGACCTGTCTTACATTGTGTGTTATACAGTGTTAGTTGTATGACAGACCTCTCTTACATTGTGTGTTATACAGTGTTAGTTGTAACAGACCTGTCTTATATTGTGTGTTATACAGTGTTAGTTGTGACAGACCTGTCTTATATTGTGTGTTATACAGTGTTAGTTGTAAGAGACCTGTCTTATATTGTGTGTTATACAGTGTTAGTTGTGACAGACCTGTTTTATATTGTGTGTTATACAGTGTTAGTTGCATGACAGACCTGTCTTCAAGACCCCCCTGGTTGTCTAAGACCCCCATTGCCTGTCTTTAAGACCCCATAGTTGCCTTCAAGACCCCCTAGTTGTCTTCAAGACCCAATGGTTCTCTTCAGGACCCCCCTGGCTGTCTTCAAGACCCTCTAGCTGTCTTTCAAAACTCCCTGGCTGTCTTCAAGACCCTGTTAGCTGTCTTCAAGATCCCCTGGCCGTCTTTCAAGACTTCCTGGTTGTCTTCAAGACCCCACCATCAATGGTCGACATCAACACACCACCATCAATAGCCAACATCAACACACCACCATCAACAGTCAACATCAATACACCACCATTAATTGCTGACATTAACATACCTTACTTGCTAAATCCTTCTCTTCCATGGTACGGAGAGCAATACGTCGACTCAGCAAGGCGTCAAGTGACGAAGCCTTGGCCACCTTGGGGTAGACGAAGCGAGAGCGTGATGTCAACGCCCGGGACACGTTGATGAGACCGTCCTCGAAGTGGTCTTCCAGGTTGACCACTCCAACTTCAACTTTCTGCTGACCGCCTGCAAGATACATCAATCATCATAATGATGCATGAATGATCATCCAGTCACACTGAATGATCTATCATCAACCTTCACTGTCACACTGAATGATCCATCATCATCCTTCACTGTCACACTGAATGATCCATCATCATCATCATTCACTGTCACACTGAATGATCCATCATCATCATATTCACAGTCACACTGAATGATCTATCATCCTCCTTCACTGTCACACTGAATGATCCATCATCCTCCTTCACTGTCACACTGAATGATCCATCATCATCCTTCACTGTCACACTGAATGATCCATCATCCTCCTTCACTGTCACACTGAATGATCCATCATCATCCTTCACTGTCACACTGAATGATCCATCATCATCCTTCACTGTCTATAATGATTCATAACTCAAATTGCTGTAATTCAATTATTATAACTTACTTGAGAATGGATCAAAGTAGAATGACATGGAGAGCATTTAAATCTGTAGGAGAAGGAAGGCGGGATAGGGGTCATCCTCGAAAAGGTTGGAAGGAAGGGGTAAGGGAGGTTTTGTGGGCGAGGGGCTTGGACTTCCAGCAGGCGTGCATGAGCCTGTTCGATAGGAGTGAATGGAGACGAATGGTATTTGGGACCTGACGATCTGTTGGAGTGTGAGCAGGGTAATATTTAGTGAAGGGATTCAGGGAAACCAGTTATTTTTATATAGCCAGACTTGAGTCCTGGAAATGGGAAGTACAATGCCTGCACTCTAAAGGAGGGGTTTTGGGATATTAGCAGTTTGGAGGGATATGTTGTGTATCTTTATACGTATATGCTTCTAAACTGTTTTGTTCTGAGCACCTCTGCAAAAACTGATTATGTGTGAGTGAGGTGAAAGTGTTGAATGATGATGAAAGTATTTTCTTTTTGGGGATTTTCTTTCTTCTTGGGTCACCCTGCCTCGGTGGGAGACGGCCGACTTGTTAAAAAAAAAAAAAAAAAACTTGAGTATGCAATAATAATGATAATTATATCTTATTTGTGCTTTCAATAATAACAATGCCTTGAGATTGCAATAATTATAATAACATACTTGAGCTTATCATAATAATAATTAACTTGAGCTTGTAATAATAATAATAATATGGAGATAGTAGGTTGGGAGAGAGCAAGCACCCAGGGAGGTCCTGCCAAGTGAGTGTGAAACGAAAGCCTGTAATTGTTTTACATGATGGTAGGATTGCTGGTGTCTTTTGTCTGTCTCATAAACATGCAAGATTTCAGGTACGTCTTGCTACTTCTACTTACACTTAGGTCACAGTACACATACGTGTACAAGCATATATATATATATATATATATATATATATATATATATATATATATATATATATATATATATATACACACCCCTCTGGATTTTCTGCTATTTTCTTTCTAGGTCTTGTTCTTGTTTATTTCCTCTTATCTCCATGGGGAAGTGGAACACAATTCTTCCTCCGTAAGCCATGCGTGTTGTAAGAGTGACTAAAATGCTGGGAGCAAGGGCCTAGTAACCCCTTCTCCTGTATAAATTACCAAATTTAAAAAGAGAAACCTTTATTTTTCTTTTTGGGCCACCCTGCTTCGGTGGGATACGGCCAGTTTGTTGAAAGAAGAAGAAGAGCATGGAAGAAGTGAATGTTTTCAGATACTTGGGAGTTGACGTGTCGGCGGATGGATGTATGAAGGATGAGGTTAATCATAGAATTGATGAGGGAAAAAATGTGAGTGGTGCATTGAGGTATATGTGGAGACAAAAAACATTATCTATGGAGGCAAAGAAGGGAATGTATGAAAGTATAATGGTACCAACACTCTTATATGGGTGTGAAGCTTGGGTTGTGAATGCAGCAGCGAGGAGGCAGTTGGAGGCAGTGGAGATGTCCTGTCTAAGGGCAATGTGTGGTGTAAATATTATGCAGAAAATTCGGAGTGTGGAAATTAGGAGAAGGTGTGGAGTTAATAAAAGTATTAGTCAGAGGGCTGAAGAGGGGTTGTTGAGGTGGTTTGGTCATTTAGAGAGAATGGATCAAAGTAGAATGACATGGAGAGCATTTAAATCTGTAGGGGAAGGAAGGCGGGGTAGGGGTCGTCCTCGAAAAGGTTGGAAGGAAGGGGTAAGGGAGGTTTTGTGGGCGAGGGGCTTGGACTTCCAGCAGGCGTGCGTGAGCGTGTTCGATAGGAGTAAATGGAGACGAATGGTATTTGGGACCTGACGATCTGTTGGAGTGTGAGCAGGGTAATATTTAGTGAAGGGATTCAAGGAAACCGGTTATTTTTATATAGCCGGACTTGAGTCCTGGAAATGGGAAGTACAATGCCTGCACTCTAAAGGAGGGGTTTTGGGATATTAGCAGTTTGGAGAGATATGGTGTATCTTTATACATATATGCTTCTAAACTGTTGTGTTCTGAGCACCTCTGCAAAAACAGTGATTACGTGTGAGTGAGGTGAAAGTGTTGAATGATGATGAAAGTATTTTCTTTTTGGGGATCTTCTTTCTTTTTGGGTCATCCTGCCTCGGTGGGAGACGGCTGACTTGTTAAAAAAAAAAAATAAAAAAAAAATAATAATAACTTACTTGAGCTTGCAATAATAATTTCATTCTTCTTTTCCTCTTGTGTTGCCTGCGTCGTTGCTGCTGCTGCTGCCTGCAGTTGTTGTCGGGGAGAGAGTAGTGAGGGCCGGAGTGACGGCGTCTTGGATGCCAGTTGCTTGTACACGGCGGGGTTCACAGAGAGGCTCTTGAGCCCTGTTGCTGCCTTGATGGGCACCATGTACTTGTCACCACCGGCACGCAGGCCCACGGTGCACATAGGCAAGTGTGGTGCACGGCGGTGCACCGAACACCACTGCCAGCCCCACATGCCATGGACCCGGTACTCCTCACCCTTCAACTTCCACACCTGCAACCATGACAATGACACAATACACCTCCTTGACATCACTGTAACCATACACATCTCTATGACACTATTGTAACTACACAATACATCTCTATGACACCACTGTAACCATACACAATACATCTCTATGACACCATTGTAACTATACACAATACACCTCTATGACACCACTGTAACCATACACAATACATCTCTATGACACCATTGTAACTATACACAATACACCTCTATGACACCACTGTAACCATACACAATACATCTCTATGACACCATTGTAACTATACACAATACACCTCTATGACACCACTGTAACCATACACAATACATCTCTATGACACCATTGTAACTATACACAATACACCTCTATGACACCACTGTAACCATACACAATACATCTCTATGACACCATTGTAACTATACACAATACACCTCTATGACACCACTGTAACTATACACAATACAATCTATGACACCATTGTAACCATACACAATACAATCTATGACAATATTGTAATCGTACACAATACACATCTACAACACTATCATAAAAAAAAAATAACATGCATTGAATTGTGAGAGCAATTGTACAGGTGGACTTGTGGCAACAAAATACACGAGTATATTTAACAACAGTGAGTGTAAAACGAAAGCCTGTAATTGTTTTACGCAATGGTAGGATTGCTGGTGTCTTTTGTCTGTCTCATAAATATGCAAGATTACAGGTACGTCTTGCTACTTCTACTTACACTTAGGTCACAGTACACATACGTGTACAAGCATATATATATATATATATATACACACCCCTCTGGATTTTCTGCTATTTTCTTTCTAGTTCTTGTTCTTGTTTATTTCCTCTTATCTCCATGGGGAAGTGGAACAGAATTCTTCCTCCGTAAGCCATGCGTGTTGTAAGAGGCGACTAAAATGCCGGGAGCAAGGGGCTAGTAACCCCTTCTCCTGTATATATTACTAAATGTACAAAGAGAAACTTTCATTTCTCCTTTTGGGCCGCCCCGCCTCGGTGGGATACGGCCGGTGTGTTGAAAGAAAGAAAGGTTTAACAACAGTCATTAAGCTTGGTATACCTGGTGTTTCAGACCAAGAGTATACTTGATGATGGTCATTGGTCGAGGTTCCTCTTGTTCTGCATCCTTCTTGTCTCTCTTCTCTTGTTTCTTCTTCTCTTCTCTTTCTAAAGCTGTCACTCTCTTAAATCTGAAGAAAAAAAAAAGAGCTTCGTAAGAGAATTAACTGTATATAGAGGAGCTTCATAAGAAAACTGTATCCACACTTGCAGTCTGGCAGTGGACGAGCGTACCTGACATGGCCAAGAGAGTCGTGCCACACTGGGTTCAGAACGACCGGCTTGACACATGCAACCAGCCACAACAACACCTTGGAGAAGTGGCGAGGTTCCGTCGATGCCATCACTGCACTGTTCCAGGACTTGCGGATGCTCGGCCAGTGAGGGTGGAACAAGTGCACCGACACGTTCTGTTCCAGCGCCAGGATCGTGTGCCGTAGTGTGGAGATCAATGATTCTTTGTTGCCTGAAACAACGTAATGTTGATGTTAACATTATGTTTCCCAAGATGAAATAAATACATCTATCATGACATTGTGTTGCCTGAAATTAAATAAATACATCTATTATAATACTGTTGCCGGCAGCTTATAGGAGCTGTTATTATCCTACCTTTACTTATCAGTCAACTAACTGAACAACACACCAGTCAATTCACCTCCCACAACTCACCAAACAAGACACTGTTCCACTTAAACTTAGCATTAAGTGTTAGACTGAACTTGTGTGACCTCACAACATACACAACTCATGACACACCACAAAACTCATGACACACCACACAAAACTCACCATACACCACACAACTCACCATACAAAACTCACCATACACCATACAAAACTCACCATACACCACACAAAACTCACCCTACACCACACAACTCACCATACACCATACAAAACTCACCATACACCATACAAAACTCACCATATTCCACACAAAACTCACCCTACACCACACAACTCACCTTACACCATACAAAACCCACCATATGTCACACAAAACTCACCCTACACCAAACAACTCACCTTACCCACACAAAACTCACCATACACCATACAAAACTCACCATACTCCACACAAAACTCACCATACGCCACACAAAACTCACTATACATCATACAAAACTCACCATACACCACACAAAACTCACCATACACAACTCACTATACACTACACAAAACTCACCATACACCACACAAAACTCACCACACACCATACAAAACTCACTATACACTACACAAAACTCACCATACACCACACAAAACTCACCATACACCCCACAAAACTCACCATACACCCACAAAATTCACCATACACCACAGAAAACTCACCATACACCATACAACACTCACCACACAAAACTCACCATACACCATACAAAACTCACCATACACCACACAAAACTCACCATACACCATACAAAACTCACCATACACCCCACAAAACTCACCATACATCATACAAACCACAACAACAAATCACCATACACCATACAAAACTCACCATACACACACAAAAACTCACCATACACACAACTCACATACACTCAACCACCATACACCCCACAAAACTTACAATACACCACACAAAACTTACAATACACCACACAAAACTCACCATACACCCCACAAAACTCACCATACACCACACAACTCATCCCACAACTTACCGAACAAGACACCGTTCCATTTAAACTCAGCATTAGGTGTTAGACTGAACTTGTGTGACAGATGGCGCTTCTTGTCTCTCTCTTCGTTGTGTTGCAGTTTGTTGAGTGCCAGAGTGTTGCAAGAATACTGGTTCATATAGTTCTTATACTTGCCATCACAACCCAGCCGGTACACCTCAGCTGCAACATTAATATCAACTCCATCAACAAACATCAACGTGAATCACCACCTCCATTAACATTATTGTGATTAATAATTATTACTGTTACTACAATTTCTAGTATTCTAATCACTATTATTATTGCTAATGTTCTATTAATATTATTTGCATTATCAATATTAATATTCTTACAGAAAGAAAAGGTGGGCTAGTGTGAGTATGGGTAGTGGGGGGGGGGGGGGGGGTTGAAGAGGCATGGGATAGTTTTAAATATGCAGTATAAGAATGTGGGGCAGAAATTTGTGGCTATAGGAGGGTGGGTTCAGGAAGAAATAGTAGTGATTAGTGGAATGATGAGGTGAAGGATGCAATAAAAGAGAAAAATGTAGCTTATGAGAAGTTTTTACAAAGCAGAAGTGATATAAGAAGGGCAGAGTATATGAAGAGTAAAAGAAAGGTGAAGAGAGTGGTGAGAGAGTGCAAAAGGAGAGCAAATGATAGAGTGGGAGAGACACCGCCAAGAAATTTTTCTTAGAAGAAAAAATTTTGGAGTGAGACAAACAAGTTAATAAAGCCTAGGAAATGAATGGATTTGTCAATTAAAAACAGAGCAGGAAAGTTAGTAGAAGGGGAGCCGGAGGTATTGGATAGATGGAAAGAATATTTTGAGAAACTTATAAATGTCAATGAAGAAAGAGAGGCAGTAATTTCATGCACTGACCAGGGACATATAACAATCTTCTAGGAATGAAGAAGAGCAAGATGTATGAGGGAGATGCATGAGGCATTAAGTACAATGAAAGGAGGTAAAGCAGCTGGAATGGATGGGATCATAACAGAAATGTTAAAAGCAGGAGGCGATATAGTGTTGAGGTGGTTGGTGATTTCTGTTTAATAAATATATGAAAGAGGGTAAGGTACCTAGGGATTGGCAGAGTGTGTGTATAATTCCTTTATATAAAATGAAGGGGGACAAAAGATTGTAAAAATTATAGGGGAATAAGTTTACCGAGTCTCCATGGGGAAGTGGAACAAAATTCTTCCTCCGTAAACCATGCGTGTCGTAAAAGGTGACTAAAATGCCGGGAGCAAGGGGCTAGTAACTCCTTTTCCCGTATATATTAATAAATTTAAGAAGAGAAACTTTTGTTTTTCTTTTTGGGCCACCCTGCCTTAGTGGGATGCGGCCGGTTTGTTGAAAGTAGTAGTAGTTTACTGAGTATAATAGGTAAAGAGAACGGTAGGGTTATTATTGAAAGAATTAGAGGTAAGACAGAGAGCAGGACTGCAGATGAGCTAGGAGGCTTTAGAATGGGTAGGGGATGTGAAGATCAGGTGTTTACATTGAAGCATATACATATATGTGAACAGCATTTAGATAAAGGTAAGGAAGTTTTCATTGCACTTTATGGATTTAGAAAAGGCATATGATAGCATGGATAGGAGAGCAATGTGGCAGATGTTGCAAGCGTATGGAACAGGTAGTAAGTTACTAAATGCTGTAAAGAGTTTTTATGAGGATAGTGAGGCTCAGGTTAGGGTGTGTAGGAGGGAGACTACATCTCAGTAAAAGTAGGTCTTAGACAGGGATGTGTAATGTCACCATGGTTGTTTAACATACTTATAGATGAGGTTGTAAAAGAAGTAAATGCTAGGGCAATGGTGAGAGGGGTGGGATTAAATTATGAGGAATCAAATACAAAATGGGAGTTGACACAGTTACTTTTTGTTGATACTGTGCTTTTGGGGGATTCTAAAGAAAAGTTGCAAAGGTTAGTGGACAAGTTTGGGAGGGTGTGTAAATGTAGAAAGCTGAAAGTGAACATAGATAAGAGTAAGGTGATGAGGGTATCAAATGATTTAGATAAAAGAAAAATTGGATATCACATTGGAGGGAAGGAGTATACAAGAAGTGAATGTTTTCAGATATTTGGGAGTTGACTTGTCAGTGGATGGGTTTATGAAAAATGAGGTTAACCATATAACTGAAGGAAAAAAGGTGAGTGGTGCATTGAGGTATCTGTGAGAACAAAGAATGTTATCCATGGAGGCAAAAAAAGGAATGTACAAGAGTATAGTGGTACCAACACTCTTATATGAGTTGTAAATGCTGCAGCAAGGAGGCAGCTGGAGGCAGTGGAAATGTCTTGTCTAAGGGCAATGTGTGGTGTAAATATTTTGCAGAAAATTCGTAGAGTGGAAATTAGGAGGAGGTGTGGAGTTACTAAAAGTATTAGCCAAAGAGCTGAAGAGGGGCTGTTGAGGTGGTTTGGTCATTCAGAGAGAATGGAACAAAGCAGAATGACTTGGAGAGTGTATAAATCTATTGGGGAAGGTGGAGTAAGGGTCGTCTCCAAAAAGGTTGGAGGGAGGGGGCAAAGGAAGTTTTGTGGGCGAGGGGCTTGGACTTCCAGCAAGCGTGTGTGAGTGTTAGATAGGAGTGAATGGAGACAAATGGTTTTTGGGACCTGACAAGCTGTTGGAGTGTGAGCAGGATAATATTTTGTGAAGGGATTCAGGGAAACTGGTTAGCCAGATTTGAGTCCTGGAAGTGGGAAGTACAATGCCTGCACTTTAAAGGAGGGGTGTTTAGGATATTGGTAGTTTGAAGGGACGCCTAAACTGTCGTATCTGAGCGCCTCTGCAAAGATGGCCGACGTGTTCAAAAAAAAATTCTTACTAGTACAAGTACCATCCGACTTACAACCAAGCTTGGTTCCAACCAACAGGTCGTGAGTCAAAATGGACGTAAGTCAAACCTTATAAAATTGCTGATAGGGATACGTCAAAAATTACATGTTAGTCTTGTAAAGCATGTTTCAGTGTCCCTTCTCTATTACATAAGAACATAAAGGAGGAGCACTAGCAGGCCTGTTGGCCCAAACTGGGCATGTCTTCTCAAATCCATCCATCCATATACATTTGCCCAACCTATTTTTTATGCTACCCAAGTCATAGCTTTTTTTAACCTTTCTTTCTCACATACCAGCTGATTTTTCTACCATATGTATAACTACTACTACTACCTCTACTTGTGTGGGCAAAACGTTGTCAATAAAGGATCACATTATACTGCTGCATCTGACTGTGCATCTGGCAGTTCTGCTGCCAGATGCTCCTTTACCTCCTCCCTCCAACCTGATGCTGCCAGATGCTCCTTTACCCCCTCCCTCCAACCTATTCAAGGATAACCCCTACCCCACCTTCCTTTCCCTACAGATTTGTACACTCTCCAAGTCATTGTACTTTAATCCATTCTCTCTAAATGACCAAACTACCTCAACAACCTCTCTTCAGCACTCTGACTAATACTTTTAGTAACTCCACACCTCCTCCTAATTTCTACACTCCAAATTCTCTGCATAATATTTACACCACACATTGCCCTTAGACAGGACATCACTGCCTCCAACCACCTCCTCGCTGCAGCATTTGCAACCCAAGCTTTAAACAGATACCTCAACCCACCACTCACCTTTTTTCCTTCATCAATTCTATGGTTAACCTCATCTTTCATAGACCATCCGCTGACAAGTCAACTCCTAAATATCTGAAAACATTCATTTCTTTCATACTCCCTCTCTCCAATGTGATATCCAATTTTTTCTTTATCGCCTCACTTAGCGACATACTCGTTTACCGATGACTCGGACTTACGATGGGCTATCTGACGAGTATGCATACCTAAATAATATATATTAGAGCTGATTTCCTTTATTCTGTTTATTACAATATACAGTACACTACTGTATAAACATTTAAAAATATACCAGAAATGTTATAAAAATGGTGCAAAGGTGACATTAAAACAATATCAAACATGGTTGACACAAACCCACTAGCATTATAGTATGCTCCTCACATAGCAACGAATTCATTTACCGACATGGTCTTAGGAACAGAACCTCAGCGTTAAGTGAGGAGACGCTGTATTTATCTAACCTGTTGTATCTGAGCGCCTCTGCAGAGTGATTATGTATGAGTGATGGTAAAAGTGTTGAATGATAATGAAAGTTTTTCTTTCTTTCTTTTTGGGTCACCCTGTCTCAGTGGGAAATGGTCAATGTGTGTTAAAAAAGAAAATTATTATTATTATTACTATTATTAACCCTTTCAGGGTTGGTCCTATTGTATCACAGCTTTGATGCCAGTGTCGGTCCTGCAGTACAACGCCATCAGCTCAGCTCACTCAGAAGCTGCGAGTGATAAATTTGGGATTAGATATGAGAGAATGGGTCTATGTGGTAAGTGTGGTAAGTGTGGTGTGGTAAGTGTGGTAGGTGTGGTAAGCATGGTAGGTGTGGTAAGCATGGTAGGTGTGGTAGGTGTGGTAGGTGTGGTAAGCATGGTAGGTGTGGTAAGCATGGTAGGTGTGGTAAGCATGGTAGGTGTGGTAGGTGTGGTAAGGCAGGTAGGTGTGGTAAGCATGGTAGGTGTGGTAGGTGTGGTAGGTGTGGTAAGCATGGTAGGTGTGGTAAGCATGGTAGGTGTGGTAAGCATGGTAGGTGTGGTAGGTGTGGTAAGCATGGTAGGTGTGGTAAGCATGGTAGGTGTGGTAAGCATGGTAGGCGTGGTAGGTGTGGTAGGTGTGGTAAGCATGGTAGGTGTGGTAGGTGTGGTAAGCATGGTAGGTGTGGTAAGCATGGGTGGCGTGGTAGGGTGGTGGTAGGTGTGGTAGGTGTGGTAAGCATGGTTTGGTGTGGTAGGTGTGGTAAGCATGGTAGGTGTGGTAAGCATGGTAGGTGTGGTAAGCATGGTAGGTGTGGTAGGTGTGGTAGGTGTGGTAGGTGTGGTAGGTTTTGGTAGGTGTGGTAAGCATGGTAGGTGTGGTAGGTGTGGTAAGCATGGTAGGTGTGGTAAGCATGGTAGGTGTGGTAGGTGTGGTAAGCATGGTAGGTGTGGTAGGTGTGGTAAGCATGGTAGGTATGGTAGGTGTGGTAGGTGTGCACCATATTAAAACATCCTCCAGCACACAGTGCATGAGAAAAAAACTACAACCTTGTTGTTGGTTTACAACACCAGCTTTGTGGTGTATTTTTTTGTTTTTTTATGATGAAGTCAACTGTGTAGAATAAATGTTTGGGAACAAAGTTGCCTAACTGTTGCCCATGTGTCTTACCTACCATCCTGTTGGTATTGTATACCATTTTGATATTCGTTTTGAGATAGCTTGAAATTAAGCTCAAATTAACAGAAATGTTCGATTTTTGCCAACGTTCAAGAGTAAACAAACCACGTCAACTGGTGGGTCTAATGTGCGTTCACGAATGCACTGATATTATTTATACAATTATTACGCTATTACCTAACAGTAAATCTTCTATTTTTTTTTTATGCGAACATATAATCAAAATGGAATTCATATCTAAAGCCTGGGAATGTAACTAACGAACAGAGGAAATGCTATTTTAGTACCAGGAATGTCTGCATTGTTTATTTTGGACCCTATTTTGAAATTGGCATATTTTGAAATTTGTGTGAAATTGGAAAAAGTACCAATTTCTGATCATTTTACTTGGTAGCTGAAATAGTTGATTGGGCAGTTTCTTGTGCTCAGTCAATAGAATGGAACACACATTAGTGAAATAGCTAAGAATCTGGCCGACTGGAACAATGTAACTGGCCTAAAATAGGACTCAAAGTAAACAAAATTGCCGATGCATAAATATCGCTAACACGGTAAAATTCACAATTGTGTAATTTTCTCAATTTCCCATTAAATTTTGTACTTTCTGTTTTATTACCTTAAGAAAAAGATTCTCTACCATTTCATAAGAAAAAATAACAAAGATCTGTTTTTGTTAAATTCTTGGATGCTGTGGACAAGTCTCAGATCATTGGTCTGGACAGTGAAAGGGTTAACAATGATTTAAAAGGCTTGTATATGACCTGAACAAGGCTTGTTCAAGTCACAAATGATTCGTACAAAACTCACACATCACTGACACGAGACTGGTACAAGACTTGAACTCGACTTGTACAAGACTAGAACAAAACTGGAACAAGACTTGTACAAAACTGGAACAAAGGACTGACCAGTACTCTGCAGTTGTGCCAACTTGCTCTGAGTGATCTTCTGGGCGTCATCCGCCGCCGCTGCTGCAGCCTTCCTGGCGTCGTCCCTGGCGGTGGCATCCACAGGCAGCCGGCGCCTCAAGTCGTCCACGGCGAACTGCTTGGGTATCAAAGTGCCGGTCTTGGTCCTGGTCTTGATGCCACTCTCCGCCACCTCAGTCTTGGCCTCAGCCTCCACCTCCTCCTCCTTCACCTCCACCTCATCCTCTTCCTTCACCTCCAGGCTGGTGTCCGGGGCCGGTCTGGGACCGGTGGTTGAGGTCTTGGACAGCTCCCCGGTGACCGGGTCCAGACTGGACACGTGTCCATCTTCCTTCGTTACGTCATCTTCCTTCTTTAACTTCTCTTCTCCTCCCGCTTCTCCTTCTTCCTCTTTAACCTCACTTTTCACATCTTCCTCTTTTATCTGTTACAAAAAGTTACATAAATTACAACAGTCTACAGTCATGGTCTAACAGTCTACAGTCATGGGCTAACAGTCTACAGTCATGGGCTAACAGTCTACAGTCATGGGCTAACAGTCTAAAAGTCAAGGGGCTAACAGTCTACAGTCATGGGCTAACAGTCTACAGTCATGGGTTAACAGTCTAGTCATGGTCTAACAGTCTACAGTCATGGTTTAACAGTCTACAGTCATGGGCTAACAGTCTACAGTCATGGGCTAACAGTCTACAGTCATGGGCTAACAGTCTACAGTCATGGGCTAACAGTCTACAGTCATGGGCTAACAGTCTACAGTCATGGGCTAACAGTCTACAGTCACGGCTAACAGTCTACAGTCATGGGCTAACAGTCTACAGTCATGGGCTAGCAGTCACAATCTACAACAGGACATGTATTACATTACCTCTTCAATAAGTTGGCCTAACAGTCACAGTGTAAGTTGCAGTCTAACAGTCGCAGTACAACCATCACAGTACAACCGTCACAGTACATCCATCACAGTACAACCGTCACAGTACAACTGTCACAGTGTAACATTCACAGTATAAGTCATAATATAAGTCACAATATAACAGTCACAGTAGAACACAGTATAAGTCACAGTAGAACACAGTATAACAGTCACAGTAGAACACAGTATAACAGTCACAGTAGAACACAGTATAACAGTCACAGTAGAACACAGTATAACAGTCACAGTAGAACACAGTATAACAGTCACAGTAGAACAGAGTATAACAGTCACAGTAGAACAGAGTATAACAGTCACAATATACCATATTTTGTGGCGTATAAGACTTTTAATTTCAATGGCTGGACATTGGTCATAACAGAAGAGTTACAGCCCACCCCACACCCCAAACTTATAGCTCCCGTCACTGACCTAAAGTTTATATGACGTAGGCTGGTTTCTGGAGATATTTGATGGAAAAAATGCCTCTAATAAGCCGCAAAATACGGTAAGTCACAGTATAACAGTCACGGTGTAACAATCACAATATAAGTCACAGTGTAAGTCATGGTATGTCACAGTAGAACAGTCCCAATATAACAGTCACAGTATGTCACAGTAGAACAGTCCCAATATAACAGTCACAGTATAAGTCATAATATAAGTCACAGTGTAAGTCACAGTATAAGTCACAGCAGAACAGTCACAGTATAAGTCACAATATAACAATCACAGTATAAGTCACGATATAACAGCCACAGTATAAGTCACAATATAACAGTCACAATATAAGTCACAGTGTAAGTCACAGTGTAAGTCACAGTGTAAGTCACAGTATAAGTCACAGCAGAACAGTCACAGTATAAGTCACAATATAATACAGTATAGGTCACAATATAACAGTCACAGTATAATATAACAGACACAGAACAATTCACACTATAATAGTCACAGTATAAGACATAGTATAAGTCACAGTATAAGTCACAGTATAAGTCACATTATAAGTCACAGTATAACAAAAGACAGTCACCACACTACCTCCTCAATAAGCTGATCAATTCCTTCTTGTTCTTTCTTCACTCTTAGTTTCTGGCGCTCTGTCATCCTCTTCTTCACTTCCTCTGAGAGACAGACACACAGATCAAACGTCAAATATTACCACAATTGGAAAAATATAAACTACTACTAAGCCTCCAGTCGAACAATATTACCAGCGTTGCAATTATCAACTACCACCCAGAATTAAGGAGCCACTCAAACGTGCGTTACATTTATAATAAATGTTGGCCTCCCTCCATGTTTAAAATCCTAAAATCTATGTCAGTTAATCTCAAAATTTTGTGTACTTACACTGTTACATTCATAAGGAGCACTAAACCTATATGGATCATAAAACCCACGGGAAAGGGGCAAGTAATACCACTTGAGGAGAGGGAGGCCAGCACCAATACCTCGGATCAAGAGCCCATTGCCAGGAATAAGACCCATCTATTTTTATTAGTTGCAAGGTACAGTAACAACAACAGAGAAGGTATTAGTTGCAAGGTACAGTAACAACAACAGAGAAGGTATTTGTTACAAGGTACAGTAACAACAACAGAGAAGGTATTTGTTACAAGGTACAGTAACAACAACAGAGAAGGTATTTGTTACAAGGTACAGTAACAACAACAGAGAAGGTATTTGTTACAAGGTCAGTAAAAAACAACAGGAGGGTATCTGTTTTCAAGGTACAGTAAAAAACAACAGAGAAGGTATTTGTTACAAGGTATAATAACAACAACAGAGAAGGTATCTGTTACAAGGTACAATAACAACAGAAAAGGTATCTGTTACAAAGTACAGTAACAACAGAGAAGGTATCTGTTACAAGGTACAGTAACAACAACAGAGAAGGTATTTGTTACAAGGTATAATAACAACAACAGAGAAGGTATCTGTTACAAGGTACAGTAACAACAGAAAAGGTATCTGTTACAAGGTACAGTAACAACAGAGAAGGTATTTGTTACAAGGTACAGTAACAACAGAGAAGGTATTTGTTACAAGGTACAGTAACAACAGAGAAGGTATCTGTTACAAGGTACAGTAACAACAGAAAAGGTATCTGTTACAAGGCACAGTAACAACAGAGAAGGTATTTGTTACAAGGTACAGTAACAACAGAGAAGGTATCTGTTACAAGGTACAGTAACAACAGAAAAGGTATCTGTTACAAAGTACAGTAACCCAACAAGGGAAAGGGATCTGTTAAAAAGGTACAGTAACAACAGAGAAGGTATCTGTTACAAGGTACAGTAACAACAGAAAAGGTATCTGTTACAAAGTACAGTAACAACAGAGAAGGTATCTGTTACAAGGTACAGTAACAACAACAACAGAGAAGGTATTTGTTACAAAGAAAAGTAATAACAATTGAGAGACATACCGTCTTGCACCTGGAGGCAGGACTTGCGGCTACCTTGGTTCTCCTCCGTCACCATTTCTGTCAGTGACATGTGGCGCTTCAGCTCAGATATGACATCTTGGAGGGCATGACACAGCTCCTCCTCCAGGTCTGCCGCATCCAGGAGACTCATCACCTCCTCCAGCTGCGCCCGCGTTGAGTAGTACCAGATCTCGCCATCCTCCGATTCTCTGAAGCACAGATGCAACAGTCAGCTGGAGACAATCATGCTGGGAAGTCACAAATGTAAACACATGTATAGGGATTGACAGTTCTTGATCTCGCCAGAAAAATGTTAAACCATCGACTATGATAATTCTTAATCTTCATATATGCCTAACATTGTTAAACATCTTCGTTTAACCTTTTAGCGTTCCAAGACCTGGTCAGGGACCCACTGTGGTTTAGGGGTCCAGAGTCAGGGGTCCAGAGTGAGTCAGGGGTCCAGAATGAGTTAGAGGTCCAGAGTGAGTTAGGGGTCCAGAGTGAGTCAGGGGTCCAGAATGAGTTAGGGGTCCAGAATGAATTAGGGGTCCAGAGTGAGTTAGGAGTCCAGAGTGAGTCAGGGATCCAGAATGAGTTAGGGGTCCAGAATGAGTCAGGGGTCCAGAATGAGTCAGGGGTCCAGAATGAGTTAGGGGTCCAGGGTGAGTTAGGGGTCCAGAATGAGTTAGGGGTTCACAGCGAGTCAGGGGTCCAGAATGAGTCAGGGGTCCAGAATGAGTCAGGGGTCCAGAGTGAGTCAGGGTCCAGAATGAGTTAGGGGTCCAGAATGAGTTAGGGGTCCAGAGTGACTCAGGGGTTCAGAGTGAGTCAGGGGTCCAGAGTTAGGGGTCCAGAATGAGCTAGAGGTCCAGAATGAATTAGGGGTCCAGAGTGAGTTAGAGGTCCAGAATGAGTTAGGGGTCCAGAGTTAGGGGTCCAGAGTTAGGGGTCCAGAGTCAGGGGTCCAGAGTGAGTTAGGGGTCCAGAATGAGTCAGGGGTACAGAATGAGTTAGGGGTCCAGAGTGAGTCAGGGGTCTAGAGTGAGTCAGGGGTCCAGAGTTAGGGGTCCAGAATCAGGGGTCCAGAATAAGTTAGGGGTCCAGAATGAGTTAGGGGTCCAGAGTGAGTCAGGGGTCCAGAGTGAGTCAAGGGTCCAGAGTGAGTTAGGGGTCCAGTGTGAGTTAGGGGTCCAGAATGATTTAGGGGTCACAGCATTAAAAAAAAATTATAGAATAAAAAATCACAATACCACAACTAGAACAAGATACTTGGAGCATTAAACTATCACACTAGTGACTAGTTAATGATCCATTAACTATTTAAAACTAGTGACTGTTAATGCTCCATTAAACTTTTTACACTTGACTTTTTAATGGTGTGACACCACACAAACAACGCGGACGGGGAAACCAGTTTTCCTGCCATGCGGTCGAAGCCTAGAGGATCTTGCTCGAGTATCCCTGAGGTCCAAGGGAGATATACAGCAGTGACCCCTTTCCACCGCAACAACAAAACACATGAAAGCAACACTTGAAAGGGAGACCATGTATGCAACACTTGAAACAAGAACACATCATGTACGCAACCTTCAACAAGAAACACATCATTACCAACACTTGCAACAAAACACATCATGTACGCAACACTTGCAACAAGAACACATATGATGCAACACTTGCAAGGGAACCGGTAGCAACACTTGCAACAAAAACACATCAGAAAAGCAGCACGCAACAAAACACATCATGTACCAACACTTGAACAAGAACCATATGTCAAACACTAGCAACAAGAGCACATGCGTATGCAACATCAAAAAAAGAACATATCGTGTGTTCAACGGGACACCTGTATTAAACACTCAAAATAAAAGCACACATTACGCAACACTCACACACTGTTTTTTTGCTAACATTACATTTACTGCCTCCGCTATATACAAAACCCGGCGTTGTTTAGAACAATGACAGTTGTACAAAACTTAAATTTTCATGCAATAATTGTTCCTGAACAATGACAAAAAACTGCACTGTATATAGAGGAGCTTTAAAGGGAAAAAATTTAAAAAAGGAAATGCTAATTAAGAATTTGAAGAGCTTTTAAAGCTGACGTACATAGAGGGGGGTTGTATGGAATGACGTAAAGGACTTTATCCCTTTTACTGTATACGAGTTTTTATAAGGGGTGCTGTATCACAGAAAAAAGCCACTATATACTTGTCATGAATACCTTTGAGGGTACCAAGTGTTCACACCTCAAAACCCCGGGTATACCCTAAAAAAAAAACTAATGATGTTTTGTATCCCCATAATTAGTTTTATATAACAACATGAAAATACCTTTAAGTATTGAAAAACTTCAAATTATGGGGCAGCAAGAAAAATCAAAGCACCGGTGAATACCACTATCGTATTTCCCGGGTGAGCAGTACACCGCTACATGCCCGTCCTCCTTTTTTCCCCCGGGTAGCGTTGTGGCGGGGTCGACGCAGTCCAGGGGGTTTAACGGGGAGCGGAGCGCGCGAGGAGATCGCCGGTCTTATGGCAGACACGACAGTGGTCGTCTACGCAGTTTCCCCCTCACTCAACAGATCCCCCGGGGACCACCATGTTTGCAGGAACTGGTCGCAGGGGAACTGAGAACCTGTAACCTGTCAGCATAATGAACTTCAGCACATTTAAATTACTACAGTCATTATAAAGAAACTAGTATAAATTAAATGAACTTCACACTTTTTAAGTTCCTACAGTCTTTTATCAAGTAACTTGTATCAATTTAATGAATATCAACACATAAAATTTTAAATACAGTTTTTTGTATTACCTCATAAAAACTGTCAATACAGTATTTTGTTTTATCCTTTACAAAATTAAATACAGTACCATATACATATAACAGAACATTAAACTCAAATCAAACTTCTTTTGATAGCTACAACAAAACACCACACAAACCAACACCAAAACCCTTTTTAACACCCAGGTTCAACTCAACTGTGTAAAAATCATGTGTAAAAAGGTCCAAAAGATTTAAATTTTCACTGACTGAATATAAACGGGGTTTCCTGTTTCCCCAATAAATTTTAGAGTGTTTTTAAAAAATCACCTCATCCCCCTAACAACTAAAACCAAAACCCCTACATTAAAACAAAACCAACTCTATATCGTTTTTCCAGTCTTCCCTAAACTTGTCCCTTTTTCTTCCACCCTTTTCCCCAACTGTGTCACTGTTCTTCCAGTCTTCCCCAAAACGTGTCACTGTTCTTCCAGTCTTCCCTCATGTGTCACGTTTTCCAGTTTTCCCCTCAACTGTGTCCCTGTTCTTCCAGTCTTCCCTCAACTGTGTCACTGTTCTTCCAGTCTTCCCTCATGTGTCACTGTTCTTCCAGTCTTCCCTCAACTGTGTCCCTGTTCTTCCAGTCTTCCCTCAACTGTGTCACTGTTCTTCCAGTCTTCCCTCATGTGTCACTGTTCTTCCAGTCTTCCCTCAACTGTGTCCCTGTTCTTCCAGTCTTCCCTAACGTGCACGTTTTTCCAGTTTTCCCCTTGGTCACTGTTTTTCCCCAGTCTTCCCCAACTGTGTCATGTTCTTCAGTCTTCCCTCAACTGTGTCATATCTTCCATCGTCCCTCAACTGTGCCGTTCTTCCATTTCCCCCTCAACTTGTCACTGTTCTTCCATTTTTTCCCTAAACTGTGTCACGTTCTTCCAGTCTTCCCTCAGTGCATGTTTTTCCCGTTTTCCCTCAACTGTGTCACTGTTCTTCCAGCTTCCCTCAACATGCCCACTTTTCTTCCATTTTCCCTCAACTGTGCACGTTTTTCCCATTTTTCCCTCAACTGTGTCATGTTTTTTCCATCTTCCCTAACGTGTCACTTTCCCCCATCTTCCTTAAACGTGTCTGTTTTTCCATCATCCTCAAACTCCCACAAAAAATTAATTCCCATTTTTTCCCTTTTTTTCCCTAGAAACTAATTAACTTCCAGTTCCCACCCTTTTTCAACCCTTCCTAAACTGAAGATGAGTCATCGTAACTGCTTACGAAACCCATTAAAACTGAATCATTGGAACTTTAAATACCCCCAAAAAATTTCTACTATTTTACTTAACTACCTCCTCTTTGTACCTAAAAAATTCCTACTTAAAAACCCATGTCTAATTTGTTTAAGCATCTGAAAGCATTAATCCTCGCCGAAATACACTGCAATTAGGGGGCTTTTTTTGTACTTAAAATTTTGTTACATGTAAAAACTAAATTATTGAATAATGAAGAAAAAAAAATCGAAATTTGTAGCATTCTCTCTAACTTTCATTTCCCGTATTAACCCTTCCCGGGGTTTCGGGGCCGTAAATAGTACGGCTTATGCACCAGGGTTTTTTTCTTTAGCCTTAAATAATTCTAGCGCCCCCAAATCTTGGAGAAAACTGGGAGGCCTCTATGAAAGAATGCGTTATGTGGTCAGTGGGGCGCGGTTAAAAAAAAATCCTGCAGGAACAGTGGGGTAATGAGAAAAAAAACTTTAACCTGTTTTTGAATTAAAACAGCGACTTTGCACTGTATTTTTGTATGGTATTATTGTTGTATTTTAGTTTTAGTGTTCATTTTATAGAATGGAAACATATTACGAAAATTTAATGATTTGACTGGCTTACAAAAAAAGTACCCTTTAATTTGCTAAAGTAGAGAATGTTGATTTTTACCAAAGTTCAAAAGTAAACAAATCTGCCAAAGGTCCAATCATGTCAACTGGTGAGTCAATATTTTTTCACAATGCGCAATATTTTTTACCATTTCTACACTAATACAGAGCTGCATAACTAAAAACTCCTATTTTTTGTAAAATAAAAAATTTAAAAGGGAAAACCCCAAAAAAATATAAGAGGGGCCGGGGTGTGACTAAAGAAAGAGAACTTTTTATTTTTTGGCAGGAATGTTTTTCTTGTTTTTCGGACCCTATTCGGAAAATTGGCTCTTTTGAAATTTGTGTGAAATTGGGGAAAATTGCAAATTCGACCCCCGTACTGGGTAGTTAAATCGGAAATGGGGTTTTTCTTTTAATCATTCGATAGAAAAAAGGAGCTCTAGCGAAAAATTATGAAAATTTTGCGACAAGACACTGGAATTGGCCCCAAAAAAGGGCCAAAGTGGGAAAATCGCCCATGCATAAAATCTGAACCTCTAACTTTGCGAGAGCAAATTCCGTAA